AACTCAATGATTATCCTAATTATATTTTAGATTTTTTATATTTAAAATAAGATGTTTGTCTTGTATTTGATTATGTTTATCTGCAATTAGTTACACGAATTCAGATATGGAGCTTTAATTAAGTTGTACTTACGCACAATCTACTTGAAATCTTAGTTTTAAGTAATATGCATTAATAAACAGTACTTTACGCATAAAAATGGTTTTTAAGAGTTTTTGTCAAATGATTTATAATATAGAATATATATATATATTTTTTATATATAATTTAATTTAAGTTTAATAATGAAACAATTTATTTTTGGTTTAATATTATAAATTTTATAAAGATAATAATTAAGTATTCTGTTAGAATTTAATGATTATATTAATTATATTTTAGAGTTTTTATATTTAAAATGAGATGTTTATCTTGTATTTGATTATGTTTATCTGCAGTTAGTTACACGAATTCAGATATAGGATGAAATCGGATATGAATGAAATCGGATAGGAATGAAATCGTTTAGGGATGAACGGGTTTAAGAGTTTTTAAGAGTTTTAACCAAATGCTTTATAATATAGTATAGATTTTATATAATTTAATTTAAGTTTAATAATGAAACAATTTATTTTTGGTTTAATATTATAAATTTTATAAAGATAATAATTAAGTATTTTGTTAGAATTCAATGATTATATTAATTATATTTTAAAGTTTTTATATTTAAAATGAGATGTTTATCTTGTATTTGATTGTGTTTATCTGCAGTTAGTTATACGAATTCAGATATGGGATGAAATCGGATAAGAATGAAATCGTTTATGGATGAATGGGTTTAAGAGTTTTTAAGAGTTTTAAGAGTTTTTAAGAGTTTTAGCCAAATGCTTTATAATATAGTATAGATTATAAAACATTTGACAAAAAATCTTAAAAGTAATTTTTTATGCACGAAGTATTGTTTATTGATGCATATTACTTAAATTTTAAAATTTCAAGTAAATTATGCATAAGTACAACTTATTAAAGCTCCATACTTGAATTCGTTTAACTAACTGCAGATAAACATAATCAAATATTGGATAAATATCTCATTTTAAATATAAAAAATCGAAAATATAATTATGATAATCATTGATAACTAACA